GATGAAGCATCGCATGTAATTGGAAACCTTAAACGAAGTCGGGTAACTCATCTTGTATAAACTAAGTAGAAGCCATGCTAGTACTATCACTTTTATGGATTTGAGAAATCATTTACTTACTGTAGAGGAAATTAAAATGACGAGGGTTAATATATGTATGTATATTTTAACTAATATACTATTTTATATTATATTAAGAAAATTTATATATATACTAGAAGACCTGGCGAACTTCGTATCGCCCTATAATCAAGAAATATCTATTACGTTTTTTTATTTATATTTTTGGAGTTTACCTGTAAGCCATATCTCCGTGTTTTGAAGTGCGACAGACTGATTGACATATTAGTTAGTTGTCAAATCTAATGTCAAAAAAAACGTTTGTATGGGAAATAGAAAAGGGCTGTTTTTAGGGTTTTCCCGGCAATTTTTCCAATTTTTCTCACCTTTTAAACCTTCCCTGGACTTCCAGGAATATTTCAAGACTAAGATAAGATAAATCCGTTCAGCTGTTCTCGAGTTTTAGCGAGACTAAGGAACAGCAATCCATTTTTATATATATAGATAGAAGATAGATTAAGAAAATTTATATACGTATACTAGTGTTTTGACCGCGACTTCGGTTTAATTTCGGAATTAGTAATATATGTATAGCTGACCGGGCGAACTATATTACGTTCTAGACGTCGTAAATAACCAGATATTGGAATTTATTAAGGTTTTTTCCTTTTTTGGTCGAACGTAATTAAATATCCTATGTCCGTCTCCTTGTTCTAATCTATCTCATCACCAATTTTCAACCATATCTCTACAGCCGTTCTTGAGTTATAAATAGTGTAACTAACATGACTTTCATATATATCTTTATAATTCTTCTGTGAGTGTGTATGTCACTGAACTTCTCTCAAACGACTGGAGCGATTTTGATGAAATTTTTTGTGTGTGTTCAAAGGGATCTGGAAATGGTTTAGATTCACAATTTAGTCCGCTGGACATTTTTTTTAATTAATTTTTAATTTATTAGTAGTTGTTGATACAAACGTTTTTTTTGACATTAGATTTGACAACTAACTAATATATCAATCATTCTGTCGCACTTCAAAACACGGAGATTTATGGCTTTAATAGGGAAACTCCAAAAATATAAATAAAAAAACGTAACAGATATTTCTTGATTATAGGGCGATACGAAGTTCGCAGGGTGTTCTAGTATATATGTATTTCGAAAAGTTTTGAGCTATATACTATACTAGTCTTTGCCCGCGACTTCGCGTGAATATCAAAGTTACGCTTACATTTTGTTATTTAAGATTTGTTAGTCTCAAATCGTATAATTACTTTCAATAACAAACCTTAGTCCGAGTTCGATACTGAATAGGACATTAACGGTAACACTGATAGTTTAACAGTATTTTAATTACATTATCCTTGATTAAGTAAAATCATCGAGTATGACGAACACGCCAAGGTTTTTCGTAATATGATATGCCATGAGTGATCAGGCTTATTTTATGTCTTAATCAAGATGATGGAAAAATAACACTTCCAAGTTAGTCCTGGAATAGTTATTAAGTCAGGAGCACTAGGATTAGGGTAGACCTAACATCTCGAAAACATCGTGGGGAAACCTGAACTTATAATCAAATTATAAGTTTGAAATCACCAACCCGTCTTGAGCAATGGTGATTAATGCTCTAACCTTCTCCATGTGAGAAGAGGCTCAGCAGTGGGCTCTGATAGGATGATGATGATAAAAGACAGCACTAAAAACTGCCCAGCGATATTATAGTTCACATAACAAGAACATTAATTTAATCCCTACTAATATTATAAATGCGAAAGTAACTCTGTCTGTCTGTTACGCTTTCACGCCTAAACAACTGAAGTGATTTTAATGAAATTTGGTAGACATAGAGTTGACTTTGAGAAAGAACATAGAATAATTTTTATCCCAGACTTGAAAGGTTCTCTTGGAAACGCGATATAACCGAACTCCACGCGGACGAAGCTGCGGGCGGAAAGCTAGTATTTCATCATCATCAGCCTATCAGAGCCCACTGCTAAGCCTCTTCTCACATGGAGAAGATTTGAGAATTAATCACCACGCTTGCTCAAGACGGGTTGGTGATTTCAAACTTATAATTGTGAAACTATAAGTCCAGGTTTCCTCACGAGGTTTTCCTTCACCGTATGTCAGTGGTGTCTAAATACTCTCAGAAAGTACATATGACTCCGAAAAATCACATTGGTACTTGCCAGGTTTGAACCCGCGCCCACGGCAACGAGAGGCGGGCCCTTTAACGACTAGGTCACCACTGACTAATTCTTGTATATATTTAAATAGAACTATAGTTATGCATATTGTAATAAAATCGTCCCTATATATAAAGTCTGTGTGTTTGTTTTAAACGGACAATAGACTGTCCAGCCATATAAATGAACAATGAAAGAATAGCATGATGTCACACAGTTTTGACTCCTTTGAAATTAACTAGCTACTTGTCGTGGTTTTGTCTGATAATAAGTTTGGCTGTACTGATAGCATTTTTAATGAGGAATGTCAATTTAAATGCTCAGATATTATAATGTATTTATTTTACAAACACTAGCACGTAATTTACTATATAATATGTATTGTTTAAACACACTATACATACATTTCTCATACACTGATACGAAGTCGCGGGGAAAATTTTGTAGTATATTTGATTTCAATAAAAATCTATTAATATCTAATCATCAGAAAATCTTGCAGGTAATTCCTATATTTACATAATTCTATAAAAAATGAAATTGCAATAAATTAAGTATTATTTTAATAAGATTTGTTAAACTGTCGACACAGAAATCTTGTAGCTATAGTTTATGAGTTACGAGCACATAAAAATGTGAATGTCTTATTATTTATATAATCAAGAGAAATTTAAACTTTCCACACAGTTAAATTGATATCGTAAGTTGGTTTATGGTTAAATATTAATTATCATTTGGAATACGTTCACTTTTATATATAAAATAATAATTATATACTATGTGTACCATATATAAAGATATCATTATCGTCCTATTTATCCACTGCTGAGCTGCCTCTCCTCACATGGAGAAGGTTAGAGCATTAATCACCATGCCTGCTTAGGACGGGTTGGTGATTTCAGCCCTGGGTACACCGACATAGCGGCCGATGGCTTTCGCAGTGGTTTTAGTGAGTAGGGGCCTGCCCAGGCCGAGCCTCACTCATCCCTTCCGGCCCCACCAAGGCCGGTTGGACGGCTCGTAAAAAGAGTTTCCCTAAAACATCAAAAAAAAAGAGTTGGTGATTTCAAACTTATAATTTGATTATAAGTCCAGGTTTCCTCACGATGTTTTCCTTCACCGTCTGTCAATAGTGTCTTAGACGGTACATATATTCGAATTAATAACATTGGTACTTGCCAGGATCGAAACCGCGCCCTCAGGCACGAGAGGCGGGCCTTTAACCACTAGGCCATCACGACTATATAAAGTTATAAACGTGGTTATTTATCAAATAACTTACGAATTTCTTTCATATAAAGTATCTTTCATTCAATTTTTGGTGAGAGTCCATTATGTTTACCACGCGTTTCTTTTTTTACACATTACATACGAAAATTTTCACGTTTTTTATTAATAAATACTGTAAATTCTGCGTATATAGTCTGGTCAATACAACATTTTCATTTTCACAACAAGTTCATCAATTTATATAGCTGGTAGAGCCTAGCTGTGGTCAAGTTACTACAGCTCGAACATGTTCTGTCTCGTGTAAGTACCACCCTCTCACAGAAGATCGGCGTGAAGTAGTCTTTAATGGATGCGTTTCTGATGAGTGAGAGAGACGGTTGCCTTTTCTCTCCCTTTCCCACTTTTCCTCCCCCTCTTCCCTAAACATGGGTAGCGTTACATCCACAACATATTTTATTTTAAGAAAGTCCATGGGTGACGGTACTACCTCCATCAGGTAGGTCGTCTGCTTCGTAGTCCCCTTCAGAATAAAAAAATCCTTTCAAAATCCAGACAAAATCACAGGAAAACTCTATATGATTAGGGCTTAATCTTAAAAAAGTCTTATCAAATCAGAAACGCGTGATTCATTTAGCCTTTAGATATGATGTCATGTGGCTGGGAATTTGAAATGGTTATCGAATAATTTGGACAAACTTTAACCGATTTATTTTTTTAAATGCAATTCATTGGTTCTCCTCTATTATACGGAACCCTAAAACAAAATGGAGGACATTGCATTAGTTACCCTATTTATTTTTTCTTTATATCCAAACTAGCTTTCCGCCCGCAGCTTCGCCCGCGTGGAGTTATTATATCGCGTTTCCAAGAGAACCTTTCAAAAGTCTGGGATAAAAACTATTTTATATTCTTTCTCAAGGTCAACTCTATATCTGTACCAAATTTCGTTAAAATCAGTTCAGTGGTTTAGACGTGAAAGCGTAACAGACAGACAGACAGAGTTACTTTCGCATTTATAATATTAGTAGGGAAATACTCCTCGCTTCAATATATTAACCGACTTGAAAATAGGATGATTCAGCTCATGACGTCATAGTTATCTCTAAATTTTATTTGTCATATGGTCGTAGTTATGAGTGACACATTACTATGAGCATTTTGTAAAGTTTTTTATGACATACTAGCTGTTACCCGCGACTTCGTCTTATTTTTTATGTGTGTATTATATTCGTATATACAAGAGAACTCACGTAAGTGAACACGTAGTGTATATAGTCATGTTGGTTCAGAGATTCAATTCATATACATATATACTGAGGACTAAAGTAATAATTAATTGTGAAAAATGTACCTAAAAAGTCATTAATATATAAAATATTTCAGCTTAAACTTTCTTCTGATAATCTGCTTCCAATGTATGTACATGGAATTATCCAATGCTAGTTACGAGGATTTGCACTATACACAAATATATGTGAATAAATTTATTAATTTTATTTTCCAGTGAGGAGAAAAACATGATTACTGTTGTTGAAGAATTCCTCGACGATCTACGGTGAGTTGATTATTAGCATTTAAAACAATCCTACTAATATTATAATTGCGAAAGTTTGAGTGTTTGTATGTTTGTTACTTCTTCACGATCAAACGGCTGAAGCGATTTTGATAAAATTTTGTATACATGAAGCTGACGTCCAGGAATAACACATAGGCTACTTAACATCCTGGAAATCCCCGAAATCAGCGGGTAACGCCGCGGGGCGCAGATAGTATATATATATGTGTGCATGTGTATGTGTGTGTCCTTCCCTACATATACATATTATTATGTAAAATATATGATTGTGATACAAAACTCTTTACATTTACGTTTCTATTAACAAGAAAAAAATAAATTTCTCATAATAATGACATTTACAATGTAACTTACAAGCACTACTTAATAATTATTATATTAATTATGTTTGTCGAATGCTGTTGCAAAATCTAGCTGACTGAGTTCTGACTTAAAGTCAGTGGTGGCCTAGTGGTTAAAAGGCCCGACTCTCATGCACGAAGACGCGGGTTCGATCCCGGCAAGCACCAATGTGATTTTTTCGAGTCATATGTACTTTATAAGAGTATTTAGACATCACTGATTAATGCATTCCCAAAGAGCGTTGATGTCAGGCAGGCGGCCGGTCGTAAAAACAATTAGCCGAAACTATTCCCAGCATGTATGGCAGACCCTGGCTGAAGCTGGGAAATTGCCAGTTAGAAGGGACCGAATTAATCAACATCCTATTACAAAGATCTCAAAACTTCTGTAGAAGAAACGTTTTGAGAAACTTGTTATTTTTTACGAGTTTTGTTTTAATGTTATTTCATTTCTTTTTGTTACAAAAATAAATAAAAAACATTTTTTCCGTTGCCATTACTAATATTAATCAATGTTTACTCGATCGTTAACTTAATTTCGAGACATTTAAGCCGTTCAATTATCGGCTTAAAAAACTAAGCCTATTTGTTAATACGAACGTTACTGGACAATTAACAATTCGGCTAGGCTTAGAACTCTGCTTATATGTTATTTAATATATCTATTAATACATATAAAGTGTATTAATTAAATATTTTATTAAATACATCAAAAATGACTTATTAATGAAATTAAAAGGAACTTATTTTCCCTTAAAAATTTCATATTTATCAGTAATTATACTTACCATGTGTTTGCATTTTCAAGCTGAACTAACAGTCTAGCGGTTTCCTTTCATAAATCTTCATACATAACCACATAGACGAGTATTTGAATAAAAAACTGAAAAGTGACCGTATTTATTTTGCTCGCTAATTTCCGATAAATGAGTCTTCAGGAGCAATTTCTTTAAATCTATGATATTTTCTAATCAGATAATTAAAAAATACTAGTCAGTGGTGGCCTAATTTTTAGAGGGCCCGCCTCTCGTTACCGAGAGTGCGGGTTCGATCCTGGCCCGGGTAAGTACCAATGTGATTTTTCCGAGTCATATGTACTTTCTAAGAGTATTTAGACATCACTGACTAATGCTGATTCCCAAAAGAGGGTTGATGTCAGGCAGGCGGCCGGTCGTAAAAAAAACAATTAGCCAAAACTATTGACAACAAGTAGAGAGACCCTGGCTATAGTCGGGAAATTGCCAGGTAGAAGAAGATAATTAAAAAATACTTAAGGTATATATTAACGACGAAATTATTTATAAGTTTAAGAGTTTTAGGCAGCTTTTTGGAATCGATAGCATTTACTACTGTTTAACAAGCACAGTTTTTGCTAAAATAACAAAAATCTCTTGAAGATTACATTTGCTAATAAACACATAAGAATACAGGGTTCGTTTTTATATAGTCAAGAAGGAGACATGAGATTTTCACCTGGTCTCATATCAAAATCTTTTGTTAATCCATTTTGTAGTTTTAAATTTCATGTACGGTCTCCAATATTCCACAAAACTTCTCTTACTGACCAAATAGATATAGGAGCTTGGACAGTGGAGGTGAGCGTTTAACGTTAGATAGGGGTCCCTTAAACCTACACCTGGGTCACAAGTCACAGTCACTGTTGAAGCTCCTCTCACTACAACGATGGACCCGACACACGCACCGTGAATACATTGAATGATGAGAGGTTTCGTCTCTCTATATATATTAAACCTACACCTGGGTCACAAGTCACAGTCACTGTTGAAGCTCCTCTCACTACAACGATGGACCCGACACACGCACCGTGAATACATGGAATGATGAGAAGATTCCTCTCATTATTTGATTAGGAATAAATCAAATAAATTTCGAAGAGTTGGACCTTACTGTAATCACCCGGATGTGACTCAAAATAACTTTTATATGACGAGGAAATCCGCGTACAAATCTTGTATATATTATAATTCTATTAGACCGCAAAACAACTGGATATATTGCGCAATGTAACATATATTTTGAATTCTATGTGACACACATACAGACTATTATTGGGTGATGTAATATTTGTTATTCATATTTAGACTAATTCACACCATCCACCGTAACCAATATTCTATACTAGCTTTCCGCCCGCAGCTTCGCCCGCGTGGAGTTCGGTTATATCGCGTTTCCAAGAGAACCTTTCAAAAGTCTCGCATAAAAACTATTTTATATTCTTTCTGAAGGTTAATTCCATCTCTTTACTAAATTTCATTAAAATCAGTTCAGTGGTTTAGGCGTGAAAGCGTAACAGACAGACAGAGTTACTTTCGCATTTATAACATTAGTAGGGATACCTGACCGGTCGAATTTTATTCTGCCTTAGAGGCCATAAATAACCATACATTTGAATTTATTAAGATTTTTCCATTAACTGAATTAAATATCCTATGTCCGTCTCCTTGTTCTAATCTATCTCTCCACCAATTTTCAACCATATCCGTACTGTCGTTCTTTAGTTATAAATAGCGTAACTAACACGACCAATAGTATATATCTTCTTCTACCTGGTAATTTCCCAGCTATAGCCAGGGTCTGCCTTACATGTTGTGAATAGTTTTGGCTAATTGTTTTTACGATCCGCCTGCCTGACATCAACCCTCTTTGGGAATGCATTAATCAGTGATGTTTAAATATTCTTTGAAAGTACATGTGCCTCGGAAAAATCACATTGGTACTTGCCAGGATCGAACTTGCGACCTCATGCATGAGAGGCGGGCCTTTTAACCACTAGGCCACGACTGATTTATATATACAGGGTGACTGGTGAATTACTATCAATACTTGAGGACGTGATATTTGACGATCATATATGACAGAATAAAAATTAATATAACATAAATATTAATAAACTTCTAAGTAAAGTTAACCAAAAGTTATGTAATTAATTACGCATCGTGTGAACACCCTACAGATTAGGTATACACTGACACTCACACATACGCGTGTCGTGACGTAGTGTTGTATCAGCACGCCGCCGCACGCGTTCACACTTGAACACTTGGAACGTGTCAACACTTTATTTATTTATACGGAAATTTTGTCAAAAATTAAGTGCCTATTTTTTTTACATAATTCGAATGAGAATCATGTACCGAGTATTCTCCTTAAATATTGATAGTAATTCACCAGTCACCCTGTATATATATATATATATATATATATATATATATATATATATATATATATATATATATATATATATATATATATATATATATATATATATATATATATATATATATATATATATATATATATATATGTGTTTCTGTAGATATCATATAATCTTATCAATAAACTCGTGATTCGACTCAGTTTGACTAATGTGTTAGAAGTGCGTGTGTGTCTTTTAACTGACATCTCCTAAATTATTAAATAAGTTATTTGAGTGTATTAAATCTTAAACTGTAAGTTTTATTATATTTATTTTTACACTATTAGGTAATTTTTAACCAATTTTATCACCTTCTTTTGTATGCAAAATCATATATTTTTTTTATTTACATTCAAATGCCCAAAAAAACGAGTGTTTCTCTAGTTTTTTTAAGTAATCTTTCTGCTTTTTTTAGTTTTTTACGTAAATTCCTTTAAATTCAGTCGACAGATAAGTTATCAATCCGATTATCCTCTAAGGTGGTACTAGTTTTGTCAATTATTGAAAATATTTTATCATACATTTATCTGACAGTTTTATCTATGTTATTCTATTTCTCTTTGAAATTCGTAAATTCTCACGAATTACCTGAAAATAACAATAAAATAACCTAATTTAGTAGAAATAAAAAAAATATTTTTTTTTTATCAATTTTGTAATTTGAAATATTATTCGATAGTTTTTGTTGTAATATTCTCTTTACATTAGCTATTTAATTTATACTAACTTAGAACAGACATACAAACACAATATTTTTTACTAACATATATTTTCTTTCGATTTCATGAAGATATATAAAAAATACGCTCACACACGTAAAGGGTCATAATATAACATTGTATATACATACATATACATATATAAAATGTCAGTGGTGGCCTAGTGGTTAAAAGGCCCGCCTCTCATGCACGAGGCCACGGGTTCGATCCTGACAAGCATCAATGTGATTTTTCCGAGTCATATGTACTTTATAAGAGTATTTAGACATCACTGACTGATGAAGGAAAACATCGTGAGGAAACATGGACTTATATCAAATTATAAGTTTGAAATCACCAACCCGTCTTACAAGCGTGGTGATTAATGCTCTAACCTTCTCCATGTGAGAAGAGGCTCAGCAGTGGGCTCTGATAGGATGATGATGATGATTAGTTATTAGTTATAATTATTTTAATTGATCGATTATAATGTAACAGATCTTGTATTTATGGGATATATATTTATCAATTTTGTATATTACATATGATGTATTTTGTATATTACATATGATTTGTATAACATATGACTTGCTAACTCACATTGCTATTGCCAGGATCGAACCCGCGTCCTCATGCATGAGAGACGGACCTTTTAACCACTAGGCCACCACGACTATAGTAAAATAAATAAATAATCTACTTATAGTAAAATCAAATATCCACGGATACGAATATAAAATTATTCTATGTACTTTATATATATTATTTTTTTCTATGTCAATTTTATTTCATACTAGTTTTGCTCGCGACTTCGCTTTAATTTCGTCATTAGTAATATATGTATAGCTAACCGGACGAACTAAATATTAGAATTTATTTAATTTTTTTCGATCGAACAAAATTAAATATCCTATGTCCGTCTCCTTGTTCTAATCTATCTCTCCAAAAATTTCAATCCATATCCCTACAGCCGTTCTTGAGTTACAAATAGTGTAACTAACACGACTTTCTTTTATATATATTCTTCTTCTTCTACCTGGCAATTTTTCCCAGCTATAGCCAGGGTCTGCCTAACATGTTGTGAATGGTTTTTGCTATTTGTTTTTACGACCGGCCGCCTGCCTGACATCAACCCTCTTTTGGGAATCAACATTAATCAGTGATGTCCAAATATTCTTAGAAAGTACATATGATTCGGAAAAATCACATTGGTACTTGCCCGGGCCAGGATCGAACCCGCGCCCTCGGCAAGGAGAGGCGGGCCCTTTAACCACTGAGCCACCACTGACTTTCTTTTATATATATTAATAGTACGATTTTTCTTAATATCTTTCTAGTGGAGGCAGGATGAGTGACTCGCCGGTAGTGAGGGTAGCACAGGGGCAGTTACAGGGGAGGCTAGCTAACTCACCCAGTGGGAAAGCCTTTTATAGCTTCCAAGGTATACCATACGCAAAGCCACCGATCGGTTCACTGAGATTCAGGGTAAGTAATAAAAATGTACACGTTTGACCACTATCATATTTGAGAGAATAAAATATCTATTAAATCATTTAAATACTATGTCTTTTTAAAATGAAATCCAAAAGAATTTTTATTAATTCAATATTTTCACGTATAATTTACAATTAATTGAAAAATTATACACTTTAACTGAAAATAAATATACAACATGTACCTACAATTCGTCTGTCAAGTAACCGAAACGTCGGTACTATACGGCGGCGTGCTGATACAACACTACGCCGCCGCACGCGTGTGTGTGTGTGTGTGTGTGTGTGTGTGTGAGTGTGTGAGTGTGTGTGTGTGTGAGTGTATGTGTGTGTGTGTGTTATATAGTTTAAATGAAACTGATATTTTCGTATAATATTCTTTTTTTATTTTAAACTATATAGTCCCGACGCTTCGGTTACCTTACATCAATGATCATGAAGACGAGATGTATATATTTTTTTTTCAGTATTATATGAAGACATAATTGTTTTTAATAAGTCAGTGGTGGCCTAGTGGTTAAGGGGCTGATAGAATAATTGTTTTTCAATTCATTGTAAATTATACGTGAAAACATTAAATCAATAAGAATTAATTGAAGTTTCATTTAAAAAGCTATATGATTTAAAGAACTTAGTACAAATTTTGTGTTCTTAAGTATGAAAGAGCGTTGAAAAATATATACAATTGCTAATTTTTTGTATCTTACAATTTAACTACCATAATATAGGTCCAATCGACATCTCTATCCAACTTTATACTAAAAAAAAAACATGTAATTTATTAGGTAATTTAAAACTTTTTACTATATCGATATAATTTTTAAGAAAATAGTTTTATGCTAATATATAGAAAGTCGTGGTAAAATCTCTCATGTAAACAACTTAAGCTGCTAGTAACAACCGGACATACATTCAGTACACCGTACATAACGTTAAATTAATTTTATCATTTATCAGCTTGTCGCATTGCCTGAGAGCTGTTATCACATCTCAGATTATGATAACACTATCAAAACAGTTCTTATACCCATATTTGATCAGTTACGTAATCGTTATAAAATCATCGTAAATCTTCTTCTTCTACCTGGCATTTTCCCAGCTTTAGCCAGGGTCTGCCTTACATGTTGTGAATAGTTTTGGCTATTTGTTTTTACGACCGGCCGCCTGCCTGACATCAACCCTCTTTGGGAATACATTAATCAGTGATGTCTAAATACTCTTAGAAAGTACATATGACTCAGAAAAATCACATTGGTACTTGCGGGGGCCAGGATCGAACCCGCGCCCTCATGCATGAGAACAGGGCCTTTTAAGCACTAGACCACCACTGACTCAATAAAATCATCGCAAATATATCCAAAAATAGTATGTTTTTGAGCTAATTAATACAACCTAATTAAATTACTTTCCAGGCACCCCAACCTCCGGAGAAGTGGGAAGGAATTCGAGATGCGACCTCAGAAGGGAATGTTTGCGCTCAAATTGACCTCAATAATCAAAATCAGTTTACAGGAGATGAGAATTGTTTATTCCTTAATGTGTACACTCCTAGCATTGAAGGGGAATCATTACCAGTCATGATCTACATACACGGTGGCTACTTCGCTTACGGTTCGGGAAATTCAAATCAATACGGCCCGGACTATCTTGTAGAAAAAGACGTTGTGGTCGTCACCATCAATTATAGATGTGGGGCGTTAGGTTTCCTAAGTTTAAACACGCCAGATGTCCCAGGGAACGCCGGGTTGAAAGATATGGTTCAAGCTATTAGATGGATCAAAGAAAACATCAAAAGCTTTGGCGGAAACCCTGATAATTTAACAGTTTTCGGCAACAGCGCCGGTGGTGCGAGCACGACTTTACTAACAGCTAGCCCGCTGTCGAAAAACCTCATCAGCAAAGCAATCTCTCAATCAGGAACGGCATTAAATTTCTGGGTTTTCCAGAAGAACGCTCTGGAAAACGCCAGAAGTCTAGCAAAGGAGTTAGGCTGTGAATCGTCTAACACGGACGAAATTCTAGAGTTCCTATCAACGACACCAGTAAAAGATCTTGTAGAAGCTGCTAATATTGTCAATTCATTGGAACTCCTCATACAAACCCACAATAATAAATTTGGTCCGGTCATTGAGAAAGAATTTCCAGGCGTCGAAGCTTTTCTATCAGAAGCATTCTTCGATCTGCTAATATCTGGTCGCGTCGCTGATATTCCAATCATGATTGGCACGACTTCCCTTGAAGTCTCCAGGGACGCGGAGGTCAGTGACCTACAAGTCTTCATCCCGGAAATTCTGCATATTGAAAAAAATTCACCCGAATCTTTGGCCATCGCTGAGCAAATCCAAAAACTATACTTCAAAGGAACTCCGACTTCAGAAGAGATATGCCAGTTGCTATCAGACATTACCTTCAATGTAGACGTGTACAGATATATTCAGTACTTGGTCAACGTGAGCAACAAACCTATATATTACTACAAGTTTGATTACATCGGAGACTTGAATGTGGCCTACAAGTTGATGAAGAGTATCGGACTCAAGGAAAATGCCTGCCAACATCTAGATGAATTGGGATATCTATTCAGAAACGATCTTCAAAAAGACATCGTAGTAAATCCACAAGATATAAAAATGAGAGAACGCCTAATTAGATTGTGGACCAACTTCGCTAAGTCTGGGTAAGTTGTATCAATAACAAAATAGTTAAGAAAATTTCGTCTTATACTAAATTTTGTACTAAAAGACGCGTTTATTGTAAAAATCCGAATAGAAAACATTAAAAAGATTAATAATTTGTTTAAAATAACCAGTAAGTAGGTGAAGAATATTAATTCATTTGTAACTTTGTCTAATATTTAATAGATTAACACCAAATATTTATACATAACTTTGAGATCGAATATAACTCTAAAATAAAATAAAATAATCCTAAATTAAGTAAAATATCTTATATTCTGTAACATAAATAAAATATACTAGTTTTATCTTTCACTCTTCCTAAATTTCAAATAGGCAAAAAAACCAATAAAGATAATAATACTTCTTAGCGATAATTTAAATTTCAGTCACAAAAATGACATTAAATTAATAAAAACCTTTTCTATTATTTCCAGAAACCCAACTCCCGATGAAAACCACTATCTCACGGTCACTTGGTTGCCAGTGACCAAAGACAAATTGAATTACATACATCTCAGCAACGAACTATCCATAAACTCCGATCCTGACAAAGAAAAAATGGAATTTTGGGACAATTTGTACGTGAAATATTTCAAAATATGGGACCAGCCTTCGATTAACCAAGAACCAATTATAGATACGACTCCGGTTATAGTACAAGAAACCATAATAACGACTGTCACTACAGTTGTTGATAATCATGAAGAAAATATAGAAAGTCATGTTTCCGTTGATGTACAAGATATAGCTGTACCAGAACAAAATATACTTATAGAAAATCTAGAGATAAAAGATTCTGGCAAGGACGATGTGGCTGACGAAAACCAGAACGGCAATATAGAAGTACAACAAGAAGTAGAAATAGAAGGGATTAAGAAGAATGGCATCAATATAGTTGAAATACAGGAAAAGTTCCAGAATCAAAACGGTGATTACAAATTTAATGGTAACATAGAGAGGAAACCGCGGCCTTCAAACGAGATAAAAATGGTCCAAAACAGCAACATAAACCCTAAAGACGTAATACGAGCAAACGACCCTCCAGAAGATGATTTGCCCAAAAACATCGGCGTCAACAAATTCGTGAACTTCTTTGAATCCCTCGGCGGCAAAAAGTAGAGACTTCACGAAAAACTAGTACTTCACGAATCCAAGGCATTTATCTAATAGAAATATTAAAAAAACTCTATGTAAATACATGATATTGTGATTCAAAGTGCCTTTAATACATTTATATAACTAATTAATTCATTCAAAAGTCGAAATATGTTCTTGTCATAAAATAATCTAGCGGGCCTAGGTGCATTAGATATCAAATACATATATATATAAATAGTAAACATATAATGAAAATTCGAAAAAAAAGTCATTATTATATATATACATATATATTTTAGTTTTTAAGCACATTATTTATTACGCACTAAAGTTTCAATTCTATAAATAACTTCAATTGTAGATAACAAGTGCCAATTCGATTCTAATTATTATAAACATTTTATTGCATATTATAATAGCATTTTTTTATATAATAAATAATTGAAATTAATTTTGTTTTATTCTTAACTTCTACCTGGCAATTTCTTTAAAAAGTCATAGAAACTCAATTGAATAGAACTGTCAATAATGATCAAATTTGTTTTCATCTAATTCAATTTGTGTTGTTTTAAACCTACTAACAAAGTTTCTAATTGTGACTTCCGCCGGGGCTGTTAAAGTTTATTTCACTTAAAAGTTACTCTTCCATTCTACTCGACACTATAATATAATGTGCACATCTTTGCACGGATGAAGGCCATATTTTAAATAAATAAACAAATGATCAAAATCTTTTTCGCCATTCTGTTATTGTCATTCTAAGCGCAAGTCAATAATTAATTCATGAATTATGGAAAATTATAGTTGTAAGTTCTGTGCTTGCGATGTATTTTTAACTAAATAATTACGAGTAAGTAGGTGTCCAATATTGTCGTTTGATAATAAAATTAAAATAATTACAAAGGGAAAGTGTGTGACCAGTAAGAGATTGAACTAAAAGAAATGTAATGTTACTCGTTTGTTGAATAAAAAGGATTATGATAGTTTTAATTAGCTAGCAGGTTGTGTACATACAAATAAGTTATTTTGTTTGAAAAATATAATAATAAGAACGTTTGAATCTCCACTGGATATACCTATTTAAATAACTTTTATAAAGCTGTGATGAACAGATCGTAATCGTTTTAAGATACTTTCTTGTCTCAGAGGTAGTTGAAAGATTCATAAAGTATATAGATGTTCGTTCTGATTGGACTGCTGTAATATTATGGTTTTAGGGGAATTTTAAAGTTTAAATAAATTAGTTGCACAAACTTACTATGGGGCAAAAGTTCTATCTTCAGAGATTTATGGAGTTCAGAGTTTATTAAAACCAAAATGCCTACTCGCTCTATTTTTGGTGTTCAGCCCATATACTTATTCTTTTAAAAACATTGGAACGCATTTACTAGACAAAACTTTGTTTTTATATAGTTGGATAGTAGCAAAACAATCATCAAATTATCATCATCTTGTTAATGATGTTGAATTTATTAGAAGGTGCTGGAATTATGCTGAAAATCGGTATTTTTCTTTCAATTTCTGGTACCCTGTCCTACAGGTTTATAAAGTAGACCTGGCGTTATGTTCGCTAAGATTTTTTGGAGACAAAAATAAAAACGTCTTTATAGAATGAGATGATTTTGAAACTTTGAAATGAGTATTCTGCTGGTCACTTACAAATATAAAACTTACCATTGTATAAAAACTTTGACTATATAGTAAATCTATATAAAATATTGGGTGACAAAAGAAAAACAATTAGTTTTCAATAGAAATTATTTATTATATTTATATACATTAATAAAAATATATAATCTTAACAATTTTCCCAGTTATTCAAACAGATTAAGTAAAGATGAACTTTAACCTTTGACCGAGCCCATAAAACCATCACAGAAATAAGCTTTCAACTATATCCAAGATTTACCAGCCCCAAGTTAAAAATATAATTACAACCCAAAGAAAAAACATCAAAAAATATATTTGGTTATATATAAGTAACGAAATTTATTATGACTAGAATATGTAAAGGGTAACTATATATATATGTGGGTGTGTATCTAAATATATACATATATGGATATCCCTACTAATATTATAAATGCGAAAGTAACTCTGTCTGTCTGTCTGTAATGCTTGCACGCCTAAACCACTGAACTGATTTTAATGAAATTGGTACAGACATAGAGCTGACCTTGAGAAAGAACATAGGATAGTTTATATCCCAGACTTTTGAAAGGTTCCCTTGGAAATAAATACATATACCTATTAAGTAACAATTTGTATTAATATATATTTATAGTCTTAATAAAATTTTCCCATTTTTCTTTAACACTAAACAAAATATTCCTCAGGTTCTTAAGTTTTAATATTTAACAACTTAAAAACTAAACAAAGCAGTGTATATTCTCTTTCAACTATTTTTAATTCATAGTCATTTACTAGCACCATATTTTTATAATATTATTAAGTAACATTGACAGACTGACGTTATTTAAATTTAAAATATATATATGTAATCTGAAATGCTTTATATCATTCATCATCTATAAATCCTTTACTCTATGATTTTTGGAGTTAAATTTTTTTAGGTAATTTATTGGAATGGTACATAGGAGTACTTTAAGTACCTTTTAATGAAAACTATATAATTACAGGTGAAAAGGGAATTAAAATTTATCTTGTTTCGTTAGCATAACAAAATTTTGTTTATGGAATGTGCATTTTAAATTGTTCATTTAGATATAATATTAAAATACTTTGTGTAGTATTATTTAAGTAATCTTCCAAAAATTCACAATTTCGCCCGCAATCCTGTTAAATCGAACCAAAATTGTATTCTTTCAAAATTAGGATATTTTTTGACCTCTATTTTCTTATTATCTATATTAAGACATAATTTCTCTTCTTTATTATACGGAAGCCATTTTGTTTGTTGAGTTTTCCAATGAGGACGCCTGAAACAATAAATAATGTTGTATTTTTAGGAATTCTTGCTATGTTTAGATGTTTTGCAAAGTTTTTAGGGAAAAGTGCAAAATGGAATTACATATTACTATTTTTTACTTTGCTTTTCTTCTAGTTTGATTTAAATGAAAATATCTAAATGTATTAAGTGGACACTAAATATATTAAAAAATTTCGATTGTTAAGGTCCGATTTGTGTTTTTTTGAGGATAGTATTTTTTATAAAAGTTTTAATTAAGCATATTATTAACTTATTGGAAGATCCAGATATTCTCAATGCTTTTTCAACTAAGTTGAATAGTCATTGAAATTTCAATTAATATCATTAAAAAACACTACTCAAGTCTATTCACAATCTAGTCCTCTAAGAACAAAAAAACGTACTAAACAGTTTTTCTATTAGTATAACATTCATATATACAGGAATTGTTATTTCCACATATATACATATATTAACTCACCCTGTTTTAACAAAATTACACCAAGCCTCTGTCAACATATTGATAATTTCCACATCACTCCCGCTCGCGACTTTCAACTTGTTGCTCCTATAGAATATATATTGTACGAGATCTCCGTGCGATGCTCCTTGAAGACCCATATTTTTTATCGTACTTGTATTCACATTGCCATTATAATCAAATCTACACAAATACAAGTCTTTGTGGTATTTTGACACCAATTCCATGAATAACATAGTATCTCTGGCGAAATAATGGTCGGAGGTCAAATTAAGGTAATCAGTTTTAACATTTTCATCAAACTTTCTATCCCCGAAGTAGTAATTACGAAGTTTTGAAGCAAACTGTACAGCTTGTTCGGTTCCGTGTTGTATTTGTAAGAAACGAGGTATAAAATACTTCAAATCTTCATACACTACACCATTCTCATCTTTGTTCACAAACAACGCTGATTCAAACGAATTTATCGTAATTATAATCGGCACTTTATTAAAACGATTCTCACGGAACGCGATCAGTGGTAGCTCGTCAAAGAATCTTTCAACACCTTCATAGTATTTCTCAACAACTGGTAAAAGAAATGCATTGATGACAGCCGGCGGGCGATTTATTTCGGCGCTCACAAACGCATTAACAAGTTCATCGGCGGGCGTATTTTTGAATATTTCACATAACTCATGTTTATTTGTAACAGTATGGCCTAAATATTTTGCTATTTCACTTGCTTTTAACACCGGATCATCGTTTATTATGTACAAATCCGAAACAGACACTCCCGATTGACAAATGACTTTGTTGAATAAATTTCCCGCCATTTTGGACGTCAAATACGATGAGACTACAGCGGAACCGGCGCTTTCGCCGTACGCTGTAATATTATTTTCATCTCCATTAAAATATCTTATATTTCTCTTAACCCATTTCAAGGCCATTATAGTATCTTTAAGCCCGGCGTTCCCCGGCACTTCAGGGAGATCTAAACATAAGAATCCAAAGACATTTAATCTATAATTTATTGTAACTAATATAACGTCGTTTCTTATTAAATAGTCCGGTTTGTAATAGTCTCCATAGCCTACAACTAATCTGCCACCGTGTACGAAAAATATGACGGGTAATTTTTCAATCTTTTCGTCTGGTAAGCTTGGTGTGTACACGTTTAAGTACAAACAGTCTTCGGATCCTTCTACAATTCCTTTTCCAAATGGATTCATTTGAGCACACTTTTCCCCCGGTTTCTTAGCGTCTCTGATGCCTGTCCAACTTTCTGGTGGTACTGGAGCCTGAAAAATATAATTAAAATAATGAGATATAAGTATTTCGCGAGTATTCATTTAAATGAAACTAAAATTTTTTGATTACTACTCGTATTTCATTATTTTAACTACATACTAACGACGTTTCAGTTACTTTGCAGCAACCGTGATCACGAAGACGAGATGTCGTCTTATGTAGTATTCGTCGATGTAATTTTTAAAAACAATAAAATATGCGTAGTAATTAGAAAATATTAGTCATTTTTTATATTCTTATTTCCTAAACACGAAATTTTGTTGATTTGATTAGAACTATCATTATATGCACACCAGAACAACATAAAATACTAAATCATTTTTATTCCGTGTAGTTAACGCGGGAACATACAATAGTAGTATTTCGTATGAGTTTACGAGACACAGACTATAGATGGCGCTTGTTTTAAAACCGCATTTTAAAGAACACGTTATTCGTCTTTCTTTCATTTGGAAGACCTCACTGGATTTCCATTAACTATGGTCTCACGGTTTCAGGAAACTCTTAAGCATCTCGTATTAGGAAACTTGGTAACAAAACCTTTGAAGACCTTCAATTAATGAAAAATTTAGCTTACAGAATCTTGGATACCTTAAACTTGCTGAACCAAACGAAGCAAGCTGCTAATTCATACATTATTTCATGCTGTACTGGTTTTATCTCTAGGTCTGTACAACCAAATATCAGCCTCGAATTTTTGACGACAGAACAAGGAGTGAAAAAAATTTCAAGAATATCGAACTTTATATAGGCGGTTTCAAGAAATTTGACATAATATCAAAAACCACTTTATCATGAAAAGATGTCAACATAGGACCTTGGTTTCCAATTTTTTGGGTACATTGTGGTATCAAAGAAACTATGAAATGAACTGCTGGCTGAAGTTTTCCAATGAAGCTATAGTATTTGGTTCCTCAAGAGAAGAATTAAAAGGCAATTGAAGGTTTGACAAAACACAAGAATGTTTAAGGGTTTATAGGCTACAGTTACCATTTGCCAACCGCCGACCTATCCAATGTTTGCAACCCAGAAATCAATAGCTATTACAAGTTCATATATAGATTAAAACAATTATCCCTACTAATATTATAAATGCGAAAGTAACTCTGTCTGTCTGTTATGCTTTCACGCCTAAACCACTGAATTGATTTTAATGAAATTTGGTACAGAGATAGAGTTGACTTTCAGAAAGAACATAGGATAGTTTTTATCCCAGACTTTTGAATGTTTCTCTTGGTAACGCAATATAACCGAACTCCACGCGGGCGAAGTTGCTGGCGGAAAGCTAGTATTAAATAAAAGTATTAATAACTACAATTTTTTATTGTAGCATCAAGTGTAATGCGATCACATTAATTCTGTGAAATAATAGTTCCATTGTTCTAATTATAGGTTGAGAAGATACATCATTAATATGAAGGTCACATAATACTATATATGCATATATAAATAAAAATAAATATTATGGTATTATTCACATCTCTATATAAAACATTACATAAAGAATTCAATGTTCCACAAACTAACATACAAAACTAAAAATAGAAAATGTACTAATTAGGATTTTATTTTAATATAACAAGTCCAAAAAATATATATAGCTAGTGCAGTTTACAAATAAATAAAAATATTAATGATAAAAAAACTGATTTTTTTATTCCTATAGCATTACTATAACAAGAGAAAGTAGCTTAAATTATTCTATAATATATTAGCTATACAATGGTGATTTAGAAGCAAAAATTTCAGTGATTATTCGAAACAAACAAACAAACAGACAGTGCAAGATTGTAGATGTCAGTTTTCTATATATGTATTTTGTATAACTGGTTATCATGTACCAAATAAAGAATACTATTTCATTTATTTATAATATTTTTTCTTAATAAGAAATTGAAAAACAAAAGAGATAAAATTATTATAATTAATAATACATATATGCAACTAAATGTCATTAAAACGGAATTAATTTGGATGATGTTAAGAAGAAATATAAATGTATGTACCGACGGATTTAAAGATATTAGTAGTCTTCTTCTTCTACCTGGCAATTTCCCTGATTTAGCCAGGGTCTGTCTAAAAGTATTAGTAGTAATAACTTGAAAATATTTATGACTCAAATATTAGTTATACACTTATTTGGCATATGTGTTGTTTTTGTTTCATGTACTTATATGTATATGATTATTAGTGTAGTTTTTCAATAAATCTATGTTAATTTCGTCAAGTACATATGTATGGTGTTAAGTAGTGAACCGGAATGATAGAACCTAATATAATAAAGTGATCTACCTACATTATACTTGACTAACAGTTCGTATATATCAAGTTAACTTACCTTGAACCTAAGGTCACCGATCGGCGGTTTAGCATATGGTATGCCCTCAAAACTATAGTATTGTTTTCCATAGTATGTCTTACGCAGCTTTCCTTCCAAAATTCCCTCTGAAACTTTTACAAGGCAGGACATCTGTAATGGTTAGGGACTTAAATTAATTTTATGACAATAATCTAAGAAAAAAGGTAATATTTTGTTTGTATATGTACTTTTGTAAATATGTGTCTGAATGAAGAACTTATATAAGAAATCTATAATGAATTTAAATATTATGTAAAAAATAAAAACAATATTAGAATTAAAAACTAAACATAATAAATATCTTTAAAAATATATATTAGTAAGTTATATTAATTTAAAGCTTAAATAAATATATATGTTCAATATTATTTTCATATATCCATGAATATTTATTTATTTAATTGTTGGTTGAGATAGCTAAATAACTTCACTTAAATCAAAATAAGCCAAAAAGACATATAAATGTGTAAATAATTATAATTATTTTGGATAACAAACAATATCTCTATACAATAAATTAATTTCTTATGAACTCTGAAACCAGAACAACAATGGAAAATCAGTTTTAAAAAATTGTAGATTCTGACATTAAAATTAAATAATTTCAAGTCCTGTTATTGTACAAAAACTTCTGATTTACAGATCCAATTTCAGCTTCACTTAAACTTTGATTCCTTATCTTAAAGATAAAATTTAACTTTATAACATTTCAAATATAATTTTGATAACAATTTATATTTAAACTTCATGAAAAGTAAAAAATCTTAATAGGTACCTATATAGTTTCTCTCATTTTCAATAAGATATAGGACTGAAGAGACGTAATTTTAATTATAAACATAACCATTAGGATTGGAGTATTTTAATAAAGACTATTTAATAATGAATTCTCAACAAATTACCTTTTATTAACACCTCCAGAGAACACTATAAGTAATTCACAGTTCAAAGAACATATGCATGAAAATCTTTTGATGTCCGAGTAATTATAAATGTACATTTGTAATTCGTATTATCATTCAAACATGATCCTCGTTTATTTATCACATACATTAAGCGATGTTTATAATAACTTGATAAAAAATTATCACCTTGAAGAATCATTGTCTAGACTAGAAAGAACGACTGTCAGATTACAATAAAAATGGAATTTTCTATACAAATTAAAATTACCAAAGTTAATATATTGAGATTAATTATAAGTATTGGTACATAATTATAGTTATAGGTATATTGAGGTCATTATTAATTTATAGGTTCAGTGACTGCGAATTCCGATCATTTCTAACTTCTAAGTGTTATAATAACCAATAAAGTATATGCATTGAGTTTAAAATGACGTTAAAAATTAATTAAAATAACTTGTATACTTCTAATTATTTTTTGTTATTTCTGTTGTATCGAATTAAAGAATTTATAATATATAAGAATTTTGATAATACGAAATAATAATATATAATTATATTACTGCAGTTGTAATAAATATTAAACTGGCAACTATGACGGCATCTTGTTCAAAGTGATAAAGAATTAGAATAAATTATTAGTTTCTTCATAATTATGAGTTAATTTGTTGTTTTTATAAACATGTTCAGTTCATTACCATAGTAATATTCCGTACCTAGCTAGTCTTATAAACCTTACTAATAAATCTAAATACGAATTTTTGTATTTATAATTGGATGGATATTTTAATGTTTCCTAAAAAAAACGACTTTATAGATATTATTGAAATCTAGGAAAATAAAATAAAATACTCTACAATCATGATACAGGTTATAAGTTATCTCGAATCCAGGGAAGTTCCCTAAGAAACAGTTCAAAGCAAGTGTATTTTCTATGACAACCCTTGAAATAGGTAAATAGATGGCGTTGTGGGTGAACTGAAAAAACCTTTTCTTAATTTAAAAGAATGAAGTGGAAGCTAAAAATTATAGATATAATATTAATAGTAGTCTGTAAGTCTATATGTCTTTAATTTAATAAACATATATTATAGAAAAAATATGTATGTCGATGAACTACTTATCTGGATTTAATGAAAACATTTCAATTAAATTATTTTACAGTTTAGAACAAAATATGACAATGAAAGTAATTTATGAACATAAACTGTAATTTTGTATATTATAAATGAATTTTAATCATCACTGTATTTTCTTATTTGTCTTTATTTAAACTTTATATTATGCTGAATAGCTTATACAATCGTTATTTATATATATTTTATCAAAGTATCCGCTCTCTGACCGACATGGCGCCAGCACCGTTGCGACATTATAGCGTGACAAGTCATGTCATTTTCGCTGATCATATATGAAAAAATCCAATGGCAGATTCTTTTTTCGGGATCGATACTTCGTCATCGGTAAGTTTAAAATTATGTTTCAGTTCGCCATAACATTTAATTTGATATATAACAAGTGGTCATTCTTATTCGAAAATGGAGTGCCAGCATGCCAAAAAGATTGCTCATAGAAACAGTCTTGCTAGTTTTTCGACTTTAATATCACGTTATTAAACTTTTTCCTGCTTTTAAAGGCTGTAATTATGTTTCTGTCGATGAAATACAGTTTATGAACTTACTAAATGTTGTACAATAGTTTTAGTTTCGAATAGAAACTTCTTCGTCTATAATTTTAAGTATGTATACCTTTCTTGTTTATCAGAATTGTGATGTAGCCTAGTAGAATTTCTTTACGTGTTCCATGATTAATGTCGCAATTTTTTATATTTTTTTGGTTTTTTTCGTAAAATAATTTGTAAATCTCAACTAGTGTAGATGTGTCGTGTTAACTACACGAGTTTGGAGATTACAAAAAATAATTTTTATTGTTGTAATTTGTTACTCAATTATGTGGATTGCATCATGAATGTGATAAATTTTCAGTAATATTAAATACCAATATCATTGAAATAAAACTAATTTGTTGATTGAATTTCATATTTCCGTGAATCATAGCTTTCAGCATTGTAGGTACTTAAATTTATCTTTCATGAACGGGGCACTAAATCCTGATATTAAATAGTTCCCAATACTTATTAAAAACTTAAGTAACTTATTCTCTTCAAAATAAAATAAGTATAAATATAATAAAAAAATAAGTATTTTCATCTGACAAATACATGTTTTTTTAATGATATCTAAATATTATGTGTTTTTTGTCCATAAACTTAATAAAATATTGTTATAGAAATTTCCTTAGAGGTCAAATAGTTAAGGTCTAAAATCGTTAAGTAATCGAATAGTCAATACTGTTTGATTTTGTTCCAATAGGATAATCACATTATATGAAGAGCTCATAGACCCATGCATTGTGCTCACACTATAAAGATTTAAGAATCTTTAAAATAAATACAGTAGAACTCCAATTATCCGAATTAATGGGGACCAGGACCCATTCGGATAATCAAATATTCGGATAATCGAAGTTTTTTTTAATTGCCATTTGAGAGAAACAAAAAGATATGTTTTGATATTGCGCAATTTTTTTATTGAATTAAATGAAAGAAACATGATTTTTTCACATGTTTTAAATATAAATAAATTGTACTTATGTACAAGTTTAGAAATAAAAATCATTGTTTTTTAAACATCTTCGTCAATGTAAGCTGTTTTGCGGTCTTAACTTGCCGTTGTGCCTACACTGACTACGCGGAGGAAAGAATAATAGCGCACTTAGACTTTTTTTGGACAATTTTTTTTCTGAAAGTGATTCGGATAATCGGCGAATCGGATAGTCGGAGTTCGGATAATTGGAGTTCTACTGTATATTATTTCTCATAATAATAGTTTTCAAAACTATTTTCTGTATTAATAGCACTAATGTTTGTTTAGCAATTAACCCACCTGCATATATTGGCTTTTAACAGAACTTTAGTTTGATAGAAACTTAACCTTTTAAGTTATTTGTTGAAGAAAAGAATAGAAAATAGTTTCTGAGATAACAAATGACAATGAAAAATGAATCATTAGATGATTAATCTGTACGGAAGAGTTAGAAATTGTTTGAAATAGCATGAGCATATTGTAAATATTTTGTATTGTAAACAAACTCTTAAGTACTGAGAATTAATTGTAGAAATATGTTGAGGAAGTACTATCGAAATCGAATAATAAAAAAGCTTTTAATTATATAATGTTTAAGAATTTTGTAATAATTTCTCAGTGGGTAGGTATACATAAATATCCTTAAAATTAAATGCTTGCTCCTGGAATGGTTGATTTTTACTAAAATTTCCTTTTTTATATCTCACTTTGTATAATTCCTGTAAATTCATGTTTGTCTTTTATATATATGTATATGTAAATAATTGTCTAGATTTATTATAGAAAACATTTCAAACTACAATATAAAATGTATAGAATTTGTATGGAAAAATTGACCTAAAGGAGACTGTGTTATAAAATATTATTGTATAAATAGAAAAGTATTGAAATAGTTCCTAATATGTATTAAGTTCTCCTTGTGTAAAATCCTTGTCAATGTCAAACTGACAGATGACTAACTGTCATTTTTGCACAGCATGTTCAGCCAATACCATACATTGGCTGTATATATTGTGCACAATATTTTAATTTCTTTGAAGAGGCTATATATATGTAAAAACTTAATTTTCAGAACTTAAATGACGACGAGGGTGGCGGGGAGCCTTCGGAAGACGAGTATGATGCCCTCAACGATGAAACATTTGGACAGGATTGTGAGTATAACATATATATATATATATCTTCTTCTTCTTCTTCTATATATATAAAAATGAATTGCTGTTCCTTGGTCTCACTAAAACTCGAGAACAGCTGAACGGATTTATCTTATCTTAGTCTTGAAATGTTCGTGGAGGTTCAGGGAAGGTTTAAAAGCTGAAAAAAATTTATTAATATCTGGGAAAACCCTAAAAACAGCACTTTTTTATTTCCCATACTAACAGTTTTTTGACATTAGATTTAAAAACTAACCAATATGTCAATCATTCTGTCACACTTCAGAACACGGAAATTTATGTCTTAAAGGTAAACACCAAAAAAATAAATAAGACATAATTTATTTCTTGATTGAGGCAGTACGAAGTCTGCCGGGTCAGCTAGTATATAATATTATATTACTTATAACATTCTTAAGGCAGACTTTTAAATGTACCCTCATGAAAAATTATTGTAATTTCTTATTATAAGTGAACTTTTGTGTTCTTTATGAGAAAATAAATGTCTTGAAACCAAACATATATATATAAAATTCTCATGTTGCGGTGTTAGACAGAAAACTCCTCTGAAATGGCTGGAATGATTTTGATGAAATTTTGAGCATATTGAGTATCTCTGAGAATCGGCCAACATCTATTTTTTATACCCCTAAGTCATAAGGGTTGTTCACGCTTTACTTTTTTTTGTTTTTATTTTCGGACGAAATTTTTGTTTTTTAGTTTTTAATTTTGTTATTTTAACCTCAATTAAACACAATCAGAGTGTAAGATATACACAGTTAATTATCAATATTATTCTAATTTATAGAAGTAAAGATTTATATGTATACATAAATTGTCCAATAGATAAAGCTTTGATAAATTAAATATGTTTTAATTATGTATACATGATCATTTTCATTTATTTTACTACAACATATATGTTGCATATACCTTATACAGGGTGACTGGTGAATTACTATCGATACTTGAGGACGTGATATTTGACGATCATATATGACAAAATAAAAATTAATATTACATAAATATTAATAAACTTCTAAGTAAAGTTAACCAAAAGTTATGTAATTAATTACGCATCATGTGAACACACTACAGATTAGGTATACACACACACACACACATACGCGGGCGGCGGCGTGGTGTTGTATCAGCACGCCGCCGCACGCGCCCACACTCGGAACACTTGGAACGTGTCAACACTTTATTTATTTATACGGAAATTTTGTAAAAAATTAAGTACCTATTTTTTTTACATAATTGGAATGAGAATCATGTACCGAGTATTCTCCTTAAACATTGATAGTAATTCACCAGTCACCCTGTATATAAATATTATTATAATATTTCTGTAGAAAGTTCATTTAAAACAGTAAATTATTACATTTACAATAGTAAGCTGAGATTTGTTATTTTTTCGTTTTCCTTACAATATACATCCATTGTTCTTTACAATTGTTTTGTGATGTTATGTTTGTGGAAAAAAATTCTCAGAGGCATTTATAAATAAGTAGCTAGACTCTGCCCCCGGTTTTGTTTTTAAAATATGAAATATATTCTCCTAATTACTATCTATCTTTATATTAAATTACATTAAAATTGGTTCATATGGAGACATGATTGTTATAGTATTTATAGGTTAAACAAATAAGTTATTAAATGCAACAATGCTGTTATTTTGTTTATATATATGTCTACATATATATGTGTGTATGTTTACTATATAAATACAGCTAAATGTATTAAGACCTAATTTATAATTATGATAATCATATATAATATTTAGTATTTCTTTAATATCATGCTTTGACATACACCTATACCTGGTCACCTGCTACACTTGGTCAAATATGTGCTGGAAACTATCTATATATATATATATATATATATATAGGGAACACACTTTTTTTTCGAACCGAACCTATATATTCCCGAATGCATCCGAAGTGATATTATAGCGATGACCCTTCGCTTGTTCTCTTTTAACGTGGGAAAGTATGTTGTGAACACGACTTGTATTATTGTAAATAGAATTTAAAAGGTGTTTTGGCATAAGATAATAATTAGTTTGCTCTAGTTAAGGTTTTATGGTTATTTAAAAGTACTGGCCTTATAAGAAAATTATATTTTTATAAGGATTTTGTTAGAATCCTAAATATACATATATATATATTATTTGTTCCAGCTGAAGAGTTTGACTGGGAGTATGAACACGAGCAGCTGGCCGGACAACTTGAGAGCAGTCGAAGGAATGCAGCACTTGATGATGCTGACTCAAGGCTCGGTAATGATCTCATCTATTATAAGTATCTCATTTATCATTCATCTCATAAATAAACGAATAAATTAGACAAAATAATTACTAATTGTGAAAACATTATCGTAACGGTCATTAATATAGAAAATATTTCATCTTAAACTTTCTTCTGATAATCTGCTTCCAATGTATATAAAGTGGAATTATACAATGCTAGTTACGAGGATTTGCACTATCCACGACGATATGTATATATCATGTGTCTAGTTATTTAATACATTACATATATGTATTTAACTCACATATAGTAAATTGGAGGGTGATCTAGAAATATGTTATTTATGTTACATAGAAAAGTTACTATCGTGATAAATATCTTAGTTTTTGGCATTTTTAAGTTAAAAAAAAGTTTTTATTATAATTAATTATATGTTAAATCCTATACATAAGTATTTTTTTAACATATTATGTTTTATTTTCAGAGGCATCGCTTTCTCAGCTAGTGTTGGATGAAACAGATGCTCCACGCAGCCTCGGCTCAAGTGTGTGGAGACATGATGTTCCTTTTCCAACACCAACAACGGTAGGTATCACACATATTGGCATTCAAAATAATATACAGGGTGACTGGTGAATTACTATCGATATTTTAGGAGAATACTCGGTACATGATTCTCATTCGAATTATGTAAACAAAATAGGTACTTAATTTTTGACTAAATTTCCGTATAAATAAATAAAGTGTGGACACGTTCCAAGTGTGGACGTGTGTGTGTGTATACCTAATCTGTAGGGTGTTCACACGATGCGTAATTAATTTCATAACTTTTGATTAACTTTACTTAGAAGTTTATTAATATTTATGTTATATTAATTTTTATTTTGTCATATATGATCGTCAAATATCACGTCCTCAAGTATCGATAGTAATTCACCACTCACCCTGTATATGTGCAAAAAACTAATTATTAGTATACTAGCTGCGCCCCGCGCTGTTACCCGCGTATTTCTGTGATGTAAAGTAGCCTATGTGTTCCTGGACGTTAGCTTCCTGTATACAAAATTTTATCAAAATCGGTTCAGTCGTTTGAGCGTGAAGAAGTAACAAACATACACACACACTCATAATTTTTCGCAATTATAATATTAGTAGGATTTTGGGCTTATGTTTTGCTTTGGCAAATTCTCTTGAAGGCTTATAAAATATATTTTGAGTTCATAGTAAAAATTAAAAAAAGATATTTTATACTAAATAAGTGCTAACTACAAATTAATAGTTTATGACTTTTCAATATATGGAGATATCAAATGAATCTATTAAACTGTAGTTTGACTTAAATTTCTATAATATACCATCCATACACGCTTAAAACAAATTATTACCAATCGAAAACAAAATGTTTTTTATTTAAAAAAAAGTCATTAAAAATGTTAAATTGATATGACCTACTATTCCGAGCTACATACATACAGGAGGTTTCGAAATTATTGTGAATTAATTTTTTTTTTAATTCACATTATTTTATGCTTATTTTTCTATGCTGATGTATTTATTTAAATCTATTAGTGATATATATTAACGTGTTCAAGGGAACGCCCTCTGTTACAGAACATACTGTATATAATATATAGATTTTAATGTAAATGTTATTAATTTCTCAGCCAGTACAGCAGCCGGCGCTCAAAAATGTTTGCACAGTGGAGGAATTGGAGAGACAGCTACGACAGAATCAACAACAGACATACACACAGAACTACTTTCAAGTATGATATTAATATATATACTAGTCTTTTCCCGCGACTTTGTCCGTTAATTTCGTAAATAGTAGTATATGTATAGCTGACCGAGCGAACTCTATTCCGCCCTAGAGATCCTAAATAACCAGTTTTTTAATTTTTTTTCTTTTAAGATCGAACTGAATGAAATCCTATGTCTATATCCTGGTTCGAATTTTTAGTTTTTCTTGAATACAGACTTTATTAATATTACTCACAAGTCACAATTTATTGCCAGCATGCGTTCGAGCGACACCCTGGAGCGTTAAACATATAACGCAACCTTTATTGAAGATACATAAAAATTTTTCAAAAATAATACTCTAATAAGATATAATATTTTCGTACTTTTATTCATTTAAATGAAACTAATATTTTTCGGATTATCCTACCCGACTTTATTTTTGTAGTAAACAGTATGACATTCAAATCTCGTCTTAACGATCACGGTTGCTAAAAAGTAGACGAAACGTCGGGTGTATGTAGTTTTTTACAAAATATCCGAAATATATTAGTTACATTTAAATTAATAATACTGTATTTATTATTATGCTCATAACATAATTTGTTACTAAATGCTAAAATTATATTTCCAGCCGCGGTTCCCACCAGTTATACTTCAACGGCCGCCAGGTCTTCAAGCGCCGTTACCGATTCCGTTCGCACCACAACAATCTATGGCACATAATATGAATCAAATGAACCAGCCGTTGAATAAAATTATTGGACAAAACTCACAAATCAACCAAATCGGCCAATCGAATATGATGAATCATATGAACCAGAACATAAATCAGATCGGTTCTAATATAAATCAGATGAATCAGAATGTAAATCAGATGGGTCAAGGTGTTAATCAAATGGGTCAAAATGTGAATCACATGGGACAAAACGTTATGGGTCAAAATCAAATGGGTCATAATGTTAACCAATTCATGCAAAATTCAAACCAGATGAATCAGTTTCAAAACAACCAAATGGGACCGGCGATGATGAATCAAATGCACAACATGAATCTTCATCCCATGAATCAGAACAATCAAATGATTCAAAACCAAATGGGTCAAAACATGAATCAGATGGTACAAAACTCTGGTTCTAACGTGAATCAAATGAATCAGGGGGGTCAGAACATGAATCAAATGGGTCAAAACATGAACCAAATGGGTCAAAATATGAATCAGATGGGTCAAAATATGAATCAGATGGGTCAAAATCAGATGATCCCAAACGGTAATCAGTTTGGCATGAATCAGTTCCAACAAATGATGGGTCAGCCTCGAATGTTGGCGCCGCCCCCTGGTATGAATATGCCAAGACAAAATTTTGGCAATAATATGAATCAATTTAATACTAATTTTCGTGTAAGTATATAAACTGATTTATTTTTATTTGTATATAAATAGGCTGTTACTATAGTACAAATTTATTTCCAAGATACATATTTAATTATTTAGTAAAATGATGTAATTTAGGACTTTAGTATTAAAATTATTTATTATAAGATAAGGTCTTAATTCTTTGTATGTTCATCTATCATGTCGTATTACGACCAGGCGTGTGTAACATATACATTGCAAGGAATATTTTGTTTAGAAGAAAAAGATTTTTTTGTGATAAATCTACTATCTATTTTATTTATTGTTATATGGGAAATATTAGTATTCAACAAAACTTTTAACTGTTGTAGGGACAAATGCAATCAAAAAACGATCAGCAAATATCACAACAGAACATGATTATGAACCACAATAAAAACCAGAACCAGATGAAACCGAACCAGCTCTCACCTAAACAGAAACCGGTTCAGAATTTGAACCACATCCAGAATATGAACCAAGTTCAGAATAAAATGCAGAAGAGCCGCGTGTATAATAATAAGAATTTAACATCTCAGAACCTGGTTCAACTTATTCAGAATACGCATCCAATGTTGAATTTCAACAACAGTTTTCATAACGCCAGCCATCATCCTATACTCAACAGAAATTTCAACAATCAACTGATGAAACATCTCATGTTTGACAACAGACAGAATGGAAATTTTTCCAACACAACCAGGTATTTATATTATATTTAAAAAATGTGCCTTCAATAATTACTTGATAAAAAAGGTATTTTATATATATGTCAGTCAGTGGTGGCCTAGTGGTTTAAAGGTCCGCCTCTCATGCATGAGGCCGCGGGTTCGATCCTGGCAAGTAACATTGTGATTTTTCTGAGTCATATGTACTTAAAATGTGCCTTCAATAATTACTTGATAAAAAAGGTATTTTATATATATGTCAGTCAGTGGTGGCCTAGTGGTCAAAAGGCCCGCCTCTCATGCACGAGGGCGCGGGTTCGATCCTGGCAAGTAACATTGTGATTTTTCCGAGTCATATGTAATTAAGAGTATTTAGACATCACTGATTAATGAAGGAAAATATGAGGAAACATGGATTAATCAAATTATAAGTTTGAAATCACCAACCCGTCTTGAGCAAGTGTGGTGATTAATCAAACCTTCTCCATGTGAGAAGAGGCTCAGCAGTGGGCTCTTATAGGAAGATAATGATGATATTTTATTTTTCCAGCAGAGTAAACACCTCAATTGATGGAGAAATTGACGAATATGCAGGTCTAATGACAGCCAGAGAAAAACAATGGCTTATAAATATACAGATGTTGCAATTAAATACTGGAACACCTTATATACATGACTTCTATTATACTGTGAGTTAAAAAATACTACGACTATCCCTACTAATATTATAAATGCGAAAGTAACTCTGTCTGTCTGTTACGCTTTCACGCCTAAACCACTGAACTGATTTTAATGAAATTTGGTACAGAGATAGAGTTGACCTTGAGAAAGAACATAGGAAAGTTTTTATGCCAGACTTTTGAAAGGTTCTCTTGGAAAAGCGATATAACTGAACTCCACGCGGGCGAAGCTGCGGGCGGAAAGCTAGTCGTATATACTCAGTGTATTGTAGAAAAGAATATTTTTTCAAGTATATAACATTTTATATTATTATATGTTATTATTGATATTAAAGAATCTTTTGCCAAAACTATTTACAACATGTAAGGCAGACCCTGGCTAAAGCTGGGATATTGCCAGGAAGAAGATTAAAGAATCTGTTATCAATATTGTAGAAGACATTTATTTTTGAAGGGAATGTTATAAAAGAAATAGTCATATTAATGCAACTACCCTCATTGTATAAAAAAAAATATGCTTTATAGAATTTTAAAATATTAATAGCATTTATCTACAGTTCTATTGTATATTTTTTATACATAATTATATTGTTTTTTTCTATATATTTAAAGGTTTTCCTCGAGAGACAGGCGAGTAAGGAAAAGGAAGGCATTAAGGAAGCACATAAGGCTAACCAACAGAATCATCCCTTCTACAGCGGAGGTGATATATACATATATTAACACCACGCTTTACTCGAATCGTAAATCGAGGTTTATAATTAAACATAGCGAAAATTTTTAACAAAAAAATATATGTAAATAATTTTATCAATCACTTTAATTCTAAGAATGCTTTATGCAATACATACACTTATTTTTTAAGGAATAATACATGTATTGTCTTTTGGGTAGCGTTTTGTTGAAATTCTTGTAACATATGTTCATAACACCCAAAACTGTTTTTAACTGTTTGACACACGGTCATCATTATTGCCTATACTCTGTATGTCCAAACGAGAATTAATTATTAAAATTCGCGTTATACTTGTAAGAGTATAACTGTATATAGAAATAGACATACACTAGCTTTCCTGGCAAGTACTAATGTGTTTTTTCCGAGTCATACGTACTTTATAAGAGTATTTAGACATCACTGATTAATGCATTCCCAAAGAGGGTTGATGTCAGGCAGGCGGCCGGTCGTAAAAACAATTATTAGGTAAAGCTATTCACGACCGAGCGAACTCTATTCCGCCATAGATACCGTAAATAACTAGATTTTTGAGTTTATTAAGTTTATGGTCTGTATTGTTAAATAATAATATGATGTCAAGTGTAATGTAGGTAGATTATTATATTAGGTTCCTTCATTCAGTGTGCTTTTTAACACAATACATATATGAAGAATTATATATAGTTTTATTTAATGCTACAGTGAGCTATATTAATGTGTTATAAAATTTCCAGGCAAGCAAGAAGACAGTCACGCCATGAGACAGAGGGAAAGACACAATTCACATCGACATAACTCAACCGGGGAAGATCCTAGGACTTATGTACCTACACAGTTTGAAAACTCACTCGGGAAACTACAGGTATAGTATATATGATATACTAGTGTGTGAGTGTGTGTGCGTGCGTGTGTGTGTGTTGAGATTTATTTATACATATATATTATGTGCATAGATTAAGCAATACATACATATAGTCCCCAAAACAGTAGTTTGTAATTAAACTGTAATATTTCTTCTATTGAGAAAAGATTTTGTTATACAATATAAATTTTAAGTGACAAATCATAATATGTTAATAAAATGTATGTGGCTAGCGTTTTTTTTATTATTTTCTACCACTTGGTACTTTTGTAAGTCAACCCAGATTTGACTGTAGCAACCAATGGCGGCTGGTGGGTAATCGAACCGGTGGTGCACTTTACTAAAATATTAAAATTAGAAAATGCAACAAAACATTTAACGAGATGTCAATCATGGCTCAATTCGTCATACATCGGGTGCTCTCGGTAATCTTCGGCCGCTCGTGCGGCGCTCGAGAACCGACTCATTACTCGGTACATTTCTATGAACTATCTTTTGTCTCACGCGCCAGGCGTATTAATGCGTATCTCATACAAGATAGCAGTCCTCGTGCACTCGCCGAAGCGCACGATATGAGTTTAGTAGAGCGCTCAAACTCTTTGACCATATTTAGGAAATTTAATTTTTTATTCTTTTTTATATGTTTATAAAATAAATATTAAAATGTTAATTTAAAAATGAAGATGAAGTAATATTTTGTAATTTTTAAATATTTGGAATTGGTGGTTCGGCGCACGAGTGCACTTAAGGTACAGCCGCCACTGGTAGCAACACTAAGAAAAAAAGGCCTATGTGAAGATGACTGTTGTGTTTGCAAATTAAAACTAGGATTTTGTTATCCATACCTTCTAACATATATATAAAATTCCGTGTCACGTGTCTGTCCGCGATGGACTCCTAAACTACTAAACCGATTTTAAATTTGATTTGCATTCCGTGTGCCTTTTGATCCAACTTGAAAGATAGGATAGCTTACATCTCAATTTATAGTCACAATATTATTTTATTGCAAATTATTTGTCTATTAAAGAAAATTATTTGTCATTATTACAATTATCTGTTGACTGAGAAAAAAAAACAAACAAATATATCAAGATATAATCTAATTAATATTGTAATGATCTCTCAACAGTGTGGTAGTGTGACGGCTCCTAGGAAAATCATTGACGTTGAAGTGGTTGGGGCGGAGCCCGAGCAGCGAGCGAGCAGGGCGCCCTCTGTGGCTAGCAACAACCCCGCTGAGGTAACACACATACATACATACACACATACAAACTCAAATAACTTTATTCAATATAGAAGCGCTACACTTTCTTATTGATGGTCACTTGAGACACTACCACCGGTTCGGAAAAGAAAATACTTTAACCTGAGAAGAACCGGCGAAGAAACTCATACACACATACATACATACACACACACACACACATACACATACAGTATATTGAACACTGACAAAGATTATACAGAGTTAGTATTGTCATAATAAATACAGTCAGCTTCCAGCCATAATAAATAATGTTATTTTACATGATAGTATCAATATATATAGTCAGTGGTGGCCTAGTGGTTAAAAGGCCCGCCTCTCATATCTGAGGTCGCGGGTTCGATCCTGACTCTGGCAAGTACCAATGTGATTTTTCCGAGTCATATGTACTTTCTACAAATATTTATACATCACTGACTAATGCATTCCCAAAAGAGGGTTGATGTCAAAACAATTAGTCGAAACTATTCACAACATGTAAGGCAGACCCTGGCTAAAGCTGGGAAATTGCCAGGTAGAAGAAGAAGTATCATATATATGTAAATTTACATATATTTAAAATTAAATTTTTGTTAAATCAGTTTATTTACAGTCCTTAAATAATTATATAAATATAATATACTAGCTTTCCGCCCGCAGCTTCGCCCGCGTGGAGTTCTGTTATATCGCGTTTCCAAGAGAACCTTTCAAAAATCTGGGATAAAAACTATACTATGTTCTTTCTCAAGGTCAACTATATGTCTGTACCAAATTTAATTAAAATCAGTTCAGTGGTTTAGGCGTGAAAGCGTAACAGACAGACAGACAGAGTAACTTTCGCATTTATAATATAAGTAGTTATTATTATAACTAAAGTATATATTTATAATTTTCAGGTTCCACGTGAGATGAGAAGGACTAAACAACTGCTTCTTGATATTGAGGCGTTGTATCTGATACTGCTGAGACTTGAAGAACTTAATGACCCCTTGGCGATATCTAATGCTTTAATATTGAAGGTAAGACATAAATACATACATACATACATATATTTTTACATATGCATATATATATATATATATATATATATATATATATATATATATATATATATATATATTAACGACTTTTATGATATTATCAGAAGAAAGTTTAAATTGAAATATTTTCTATATTAACGACTTTTAAGGTATTTTTTTCACAATTAGTAATTATTTAGTGTTTAATTTATTACTAATTATGAAAAAATACCTTAAAAGTTGTTAATTTAGAAAATATTTCAGCTTAAACTTTCTTCTGATGATCTGCTTCCAATGTAGATACGCGGAATTATACAATGCTAGTTACGAGTATTTGCACTATACACGACTATAAGTGTCTAAATACTATATAGAATCTAGTTATACCAAAACTAAAATATTGATATTTTCTTGTATATATTAGGAAAGAGAAGAAAAACAGAAGCAATTAGAAGCAGCGCAGAAAGAAGCAGAAGATGACGATGATGGAAACTTATTCCTTAAGAATATAGAATCTGTACAGAGACGACCCAAACAGGACAGTCCAAAGAGCGAAAATATTGATAAGAGACAGGTTTGTAAAGATATTAATCTTTATATATATATAATTCTTCTGTGAGTGTGTATGTCACTGAACTTCTCTCAAACGACTGGACCGATTTTGATGAAATTTTTTGTGTGTGTTCAAGGGGATCTGGGAATGGTTTAGATTCACAATTTTGTCAGCTGGACAATGTCTTTTTTAATTGATTTTCAATTTATTAGTAGTTATTGATATATATTTAGGATTCGAACAAATTCATTAAAAAATATATAGTTTTCTTATAAAGTCAGTAATTTTAAATAACTAATACAACTTTAGCTAGAACAAACTAATTATTGTCTTAAACCAATACACTTTAAGTTTCTATTTCAATTCAATTTACAAACACAAGTCGTGTTGACAAAGTACTTTCACTTCGGGTGCATTCTGAAATTTAAAGGTTTGATTCAAATTAAATGTGTTCCATAAATATATTTAACTAGCTTTCCCCCCGCAGCTTCGCCCGCGTGGAGTTCGGTTATATCGCGTTTCCAAGAGAACCTTTCAAAAGTCTGGGATAAAAACTATCCTATGTTCTTTCTCAAGATCAACTCTATCTCTGTACCAAATTTCATTAAAATCAGTTTAGTGGTTTAGTCGTGAAAGTGTAACAGACAGACAGACAAAGTTACTTTCTTATTAATAATATTAGTAGGAATAATGTATATATATAATTTCTCAAATAAAATGAATCTATGTTATTCATAACTACATGAGTTATCTGTTAATGGATGTACAATCAAATATATACTCAAAAGGATATACATCTATAGCAATATCTTCTTCTTCCTGGCAATTTCCCAGCTTTAGCCAGGGTCTGCCTGCCCATAGCAGTATAGTATATATTTCAATTTCCAGGTCGTGAATTTAACAACAAATCAGAAACCTCAACCGACAAAGAATCTTTTAGATGAAGATAAAGAAGATCTACTCAATAAGATGTTCTCCGGACTACTGCATGGAGAAAGAATACAACAAATATTAGCTGTTAGGAAGGGGAAGGTATGGAGGCAACATATGTATTGATAAAAATATGATATAAGATACTTATACATTGTACAAGAATACTTTGTAGTCACATTGTACTTATTCATAGAGTTATAATATTATTGCTGGGCTTAGAATGTCGAGCATAAAGAAGACACTAACTAGTTCATTATTTATTTCCGAGAGAGTACAATAAGACTCACTGATTTACATGTGCAATGATTCGACTTGAGATACACAGATGTGACACATTTTAGACAAAGAATATGTAACTTACCAACTGTTTACTTATATACCTATGAGCGTATACGGCACAATATATAACATTTACTGTGGGTAGACTAACTTATTACAAATATTCTATTTTAAGAAAAATGTAATAAGCCCCTTGTGTAAGTGTAATAAGTTAGACATCATTGTTCTGTAATATAAATACTATAAAGTGAAGTAAGTCTCAACATAATCTTTATTTTCCAGTCACTCCTGGCTCGTTTCCTGGCCCGCACGCCCGACACTCACCCTCGTCTGCGCCCTCTATGGTCAAGGGTGCTCCGCTGTCTGCCGACCGCAGCCCGCCGCGACGAAGGCGGCGCCCTATTATCTCTGGAGCCCCACTTCCGGCGCTACGCCCTCGCGGCGCCCGGCTGGCCGGCGGTGGCGGAGTCCTGCGCCGCGCTCGCCGAAGCCCTAGACCCTTCCCGCGGTCACCACGCGCTAGACACGCGACTGACTTTAAGCTGCGTGTGCGCACTCACAGAAAAGGCGATGATGTTAACAGGAGTGTTGGAATCATCCGCCGGAGAGCGGCAGTGGTATAGATTCCTCAAGAATGTAGCGAAGGCCTTAAGACAAGCGCCCAGTGTGGCCCCGCCGGCAAGGCCCGTGGCGGAGCCCCGGCTAACCGCGCATCTAAAGCGATTAGAAGCCCGCGCGGGGCTTGAAATACTTCAACGCGGCGCTACTATTGAATTATCCGCTAAAGAGGCCGCGGAACACCTCATAAGACACCTATGCTGACAGCCGGCGCCCCTGTATATATATATATTATATATATTCTCCACACACATAACCGATTCGCTCCATGGAGGTTATATGTTTGTCCATGACGAATCGACGGGACGGTGTTCGTTAGTTTTTTTTATATTCGTTGTTAATTTTGTCACATCGGGATATATGTTTCATGTGATGTGACCTTGACTTGTAAGAATTGTATAGAACTAATGTACATATGATGTAAGAAAAGATATGAAACGGAAAAAATATTATGGGAAATGTCTATTTTAATTTAGGACGCCGTCTGTGTTATGTTAGGGACGTTTCTATTTGTCGGGCGGAGGGTGCGCACCCTCGCACCCCTCCGTCTGCACCCTCGCGAATGTTCGACACCCGTCGGTGATGTAAATTATCTATTGACAGAACCCACGCATTGTGTTGGGTTCGAGCGCATAAAAATTACGAACTGCCAGTAAATATGTTAAATTTCCCTTATTTTGTAATCGCATCCTTAATTTTTAACTGCAGTTTTATTTCCTTAATAGCTGGTGGAGTTTTTTTTTTTACTATCTATTGGTAGTTTTTAGTTTTTTTTTATCATAACAATAATTAAATGAAAATTTTTATAGCAGAACTGTGTTTTATTACTTTATTCGAGAGTACTGTTTGAACATTAAAATGATTTTTTTGTCAGATTCAACTGTGATGATATTATGTAAATAATCAACAAATGTAGTTTCAAATTAACACAATAGGGAAAATAATTGATTTTCCTATATGAGATGTTACGTTCCTATGTTGAACAGTTTGATTAAATATCAATTAACGTGTGAATCTCAACCATTTTAATAATTAAGACCTTTTATCTTTCCCGATCTCTACTTACAATTCCTTATTAGACAATTCTGTAATCATATTATTATACTTTAACTTTCTTTTTACAAACTCGATGCAAACAACAGGTAAGTTATAATATGACAGTCATCATCATCCTATCAGAGCCCCCTGCTGAGCCTCTTCTCACATGGAGAAGGTTTGAGCATTAATCACCACGCTTGCTCAAGACGGGTTGGTGATTTCAAACTTATAATTTGATAAGTCCATGTTTCCTCACGATGTTTTCCTTCATCAGTCAGTGATGTCTAAATACTCTTATAAAGTACATATGACTCGGAATCACATTGGTACTTGCCAGGATCGAACCCGCGCCCTCATGCATGAGAGGAATGCATATTATTTGGCAATTTGAGAATAATATCACTATAACACAATTATAACCCATGTACTATGGAGACTAGTATGATTGTATGACTAAAAAGTGATTTTCTTTCATACATTCCTATAGAATACAAAGCCGCCATATTTTTCATGCCTGTTGCATGACATCATCTAGATATTTTTTGCCAAAATTCAACCCAGATCTAATATCTCCATAGTAATATATTGTGATACCTACCAGTATAGGAAAGATCAAATCCTGACTTTACAGCATCCGAGAGGTAAGTGTGCCTACGTATTATCTTTTATTAATGTAGGCAAAAATCACTGTCCATAATGGCACCTAGAAGCAAGTCTGTATTCGATATGCTACATTGTCAATTTAATACATGTTCTGTGGCATTTAATACATATGTTCTGTCGCGGAGTCGCCGTTCTACCATCGAACTGTAATGTCGTCATAACAATTAATTATTGTAAATTATATTACAATACAAATATCTATACTCAATTGCCTTTCATTACATGATCCACAAGATATAAAAGGCAAATAAGGATGGAATACAAGTACCAAGTTCTAACTGACATACTATTTCTACTTCACTAGACTAGCGATATCATTTTTGTAGTCTACAGTCTAGACTTACCATAATATCTAATACTAGCTTTCCGCCCGCAGCTTCGTCCGCGTAGAGTTCGGTTATATCGCGTTTCCAAGAGAACCTTTCAAAAGTCTGGGATAAAGACTATCCTATGTTCTTTATCAAGGTCAACTCTATATCTGTACCAAATTTCATTAAAATCAGTTCAATGGTTTAGGCGTGAAAGCGTAACAGACAGACAGAGTTACTTTCGCATTTAAAATATTATTATTATCAGTATTATAAGAACATAGAACACGATAATTGGTCTAGAACCTTGAATAATTGCAGTCTTGTAGTTAACTTTATTTAGTCTTGTATTACTAGAATATGGATTTTATTTGGAATGATTAATAAAAATACATTTAATATGTTTTAATTCTATTCAACAACACCCTGACCTGACTAGACATTACAGCTAACTTTACAAAAATTAAATTATACATTGCGTTACATATGGTTAACTATATACCAATATAAAAATACAAATATACATCCGACATACAGAAATACAATTATACACAACAGATACAATTATAAGACAAAATATACAAGAGAATTACTGAAAACTAATAGGAACAAAGCTTAGATACTACTAAATAAACTGCATAGGTGAGCAATTATATGCATTGTATAATTAGTAGAAACACAATTATACAAAACTACAACATTACTAGGAATTAATTACAATATTATAAAAAACTTTTATTGTGATATTTAAATATGTTTTTCATATATTGTTTTAGCAAGTCTTTGTTTATTTGGATATGTACTATATATAGTTATGTACTAACATAATATTTTCATTTAGATAGTTTTTCTAATAACTCTTGAAGTGCTAATGCTTTGCCGAGACGTCTTCTGAAGTCCTGGAACAAATATATCAATAACATTATACATATTGTATGATAAAATTAATTAATGTACAGTAATTGTACATAATACATTGTAAATTTAGTTACACAAAAGATTTATTGATCCGGAAATTAAATTATACACAATTTTACTGTGCAAATTCAATTATACATATAACTAACTAACTGCATCTGGTTTGTATATAAATTATACAAAAGCTTTATTGACGATTTAGTCACACCTACAATCAACTGTGTTCGGTACAAGTACATAAATTATACAAAAGACTTATCCGGACGGAAATGAAATTATACAAAGGCTTTATTGCGGGAAATACAATTATACATATGATTATGTATACCTGGTATATATCTAGTCCGTGTTCGGGCTCCCTAGCTTTGAACATGTCCATAGTCATGAGACACAGGGCCTTTCCGTTCATAGGGAACCTCTCGGGCCTACCGCCGCGGACAGAGACCCAACGACCGGCCTGCTGTCTTGACCAGCGGCGGGGATCTGTCAGAGGAAAATATAAATTATATATATTAATGAGATCTAAGACAATCGCGAATAATAAATAAATTTAATGGACATTATACGTTTATTTGGATATTAACGACGTCGTTTATTCAGTCTCTATACAGGGTGACTGGTGAATTACTATCAATATTTAAGGAGAATACTCGGTACATGATTCTCATTCGAATTATTTAAAAAAAATAGGTACTTAATTTTTGACAAAATTTCCGTATAAAAAAATAAAGTGTTGACACGTTCCAAGTGTTCCAAGTGTGGACGCGTGCGGCGGCGTGCTGATACAACACCACGCCGCCGCACGCGTGTGTGTGTGTGTGTGTATACCTAATCTGTAGGGTGTTCACACGATGCGTAATTAATTACATAACTTTTGGTTAACTTTACTTAGAAGTCTATTAATATTTATGTTATATTAATTTTTATTGTGTCATATATGATCGTCAAATATCACGTCCTCAAGTATCGATAGTAATTCACCAGTCACCCTGTATAATAATAAGATATTTATTATATATATAACTTACCCAGAGGTAAATCATCTTCTTGTAACGCTCGTAAATCAACGCCCCAAGTGTCGCAAGAGGCTGGAGGGACACGATCACATCGAGCTTGGGTCGGCATACTGAAGACATATACATATGTAACATATATACATACTAATATATACGTAGAAATTAAAATATATGTCATATACATATAACATATTACGTCAGTGGTGTCCTAGTGGTTAAAAGGCCCGCCTCTCATGCATGAGGTCGCAAGTTCAATCCTGGCAAGTACCAATGTGATTTTTCCGAGTCATATGTACTTAAGAGTATTTAGACATCACTGATTAATGCATTCCCAAAGATAGTTGATGTCAGGCAGGCGGCCGTTAAAACAATTAGCCAAAACTATTCACAACATGTAAGTCAGACTCTGGCTAAAGCTGGTAAATTGCCAGGTAGATATATATGTTATAATTATAAGTGGTTACTTTTATTATAGAGCCCTGTCCCAAGGCCGTCAACATCCTGTCACATACAAATGCAAAAGAAAACCTAATTACATAATAGTCACTATTTTGATCCGTCATTAGTACGGACGCGTGACCCACATCCGGTTTCCGGCGCATTATGGCGGGTTTGAATACGCGTTCGGTTTCCGTTTCCATATTGAATGTTTTTTTTATTTTTACCGATTTTTGTTGATCAACGGATTTCCTACCCATTGTAAATATTGAGGGTTTAGGAAGAAGTGTATCCGTAGTAGTAGTTTTAATGATTTAACTACAAACGTCGCGTTTATTGTTTAGTAGTAATAAGAAAATACTTTAAACTGTTTAATATTTAGATTCTACTGATTAATGAAGGAAAATATGAGGAAACATGGACTATCAAATTATAAGTTTGAAATCACCAACCCGTCTTGAGCAAGCGTGGTGATTAATGCTCTAACCTTCTCCATGTGAGAAGAGGCTCAGATGTCTGTTTAGTCTCACGATTGGCACTTGTGGTAAAGGCGTTATTTTTATATATCAGATGAAATAGATTATTATGAGAATTAATTAATATGTTAAAATTTTTTCTATAGAAAATATATATTTTCGTAAATAACTATAACTTATAAATAAATAAACTAATGGGTTTTAAGTTGGTATAAAAAAAATTGTGAAAATATAAAATTAGCAATTTTGTATTTTTTCTCCTTAATTTATTATTAATACCCTATTTATTTTTGTAACGTATTATTAGATTTTTCCAAGTTGTATGTACTTAAGAGTATTTAGACATCACTGATTAATGCATTCCCAAAGAGGGTTGATGTCTGGCAGGCGGCCGGTCTTAAAAACAATTAGCCAAAACTATTCACAACATGTAAGGCAGACCCTGGCTAAAGCTGGGTAATTGCCAGGTAGAAGACATAGCGCAGTTTATTAAAATCAACAGTAAAGAGAATATAGTTAACTCATTATTGATAGTTAAAACGTGTAATAGTAACCCAATATCCGACGCATACTAAGGACTTCAAACTTCCGCGACCAAGTGTTGTTATAACAAACTTACTACAAGTCACATCGTCAAACGTAAAACTGACAGTTTAAAGTAAATCACATATTTTTAATATATATATATGTATTTTTATTTATACCCAACGTAGTCGAGGTTCAAGTAACGTAAATTACATAATTTTACTTATATATTGAAACAACTGACAATATTATAGGTATATATAATTCTCGTGTCGCGGTGTTAGACAGAGAACTCCTCCGAAACGGCTGGACCGATTTTGATGATATTTTGTGAGCATGAGTAGCTCTGAGTCAGCCAAAATCTATTTTTTATACCCCTAAGTCATAAGAGTTGTACACCCTTAAATATTTTTATTTTCGCACGAAATTTATTGTTTTTATTTATTGTTTTAGCATTAAAAATATATACAACCAAAAATTTATACTTTTTTATCACCAATCCCTATTTTTTATATGGCAAAACAACGTTTGCAGAGTCAAATAGTATATACAGGGTGACTGGTGAATTACTATCAATATTTAAGGAGAATACTCGGTACATGATTCTCATTCGAATTATGTAAAATAAATGGCGCGTGTTGGGAGAGGCCTATGTCCAGCAGTGGACTGCTATAGGCTGAGTGATGATGATGATGATGATGAAATAGGTACTTAATTTTTGACAAAATTTCCGTATAAATAAATAAAGTGTTGACACGTTCCAAGTGTTCCAAGTGTGGACGCGTGCGGCGGCGTGCTGATACAACACAACGCCGCCGCACGCGTGTGTGTGTGTGTGTGTATACCTAATCTGTAGGGTGTTCACACGATGCGTAATTAATAACATAACTTTTGGTTAACTTTACTTAGAAGTTTATTAATATTTATGTTATATTAATTTTTATTTTGTCATATATGATCGTCAAATATCACGTCCTCAAGTATACACAAAATCATCAATAAATTTTCTCGAAATATAAAACTAAGTAACTTTAAACTGTAACAGTTTTTACAAACACTTTCTCTACACAATACACGCTAGCGGAAGAGAATATATAATTTATGTATCAAAACATAGAAATTATGTTACAGGAAATAAACATATATAAAGAAGATATTTTAAAAATAGTAATTTATTAAAACTCAAGTAACCATCTTTAAATCTTCTATAAACTCTAATATTGAAAATTATTTCTCTATATAGTATGGTAATTATAGTTTAAAACGCTCTTCAAGCAAGTTTAAATTTAAATTAATAAGTTTAAATCGGTTTTCGTATAAAATTATCCACAATAAAATTCTTTCGTCAATCTCCCGCCATATGTAAAAACAATGGCGGGAAAACGAATAATTTGTAAGCTTGACGACCGTGCGAAAGGAAACCTAACATTCACATTTAATTAAGAAATTATACAGAAGGGGAAGATTTTTAGTTAAACTTTAATGTTTCCGGCGTTTGTGTGTTGAGAAATACAAAAAAAAACAGTTTTCAACAATAATATAGTCGAAAACACGCTTTGTGTTACAAAAATTTATACGCATAATAGTTTAAACATTGAAATCGAAGATAGTATATAAAATACTAATAAAATCATATTTCCATAATAATATTATACTTACATTATTTTTTATATATTCTTTGAGACCAAATCCTTTTAAGCACAGCACAAACACATTAAAATATTAAAGAAATGACGCGCTTGGGAATCACTCCGCAATGATGCGACCGCGCTCTACGAACGAGAAACTTCGAGTGACGTATTAAAAACATGAATGAATTCAAGATTCCTATGTCTCGTAATTCTATACAGGCTTATAACAAGCAAAAGTATTTTTAAAAATAAACCTTAACTATTAAATAATAAGACTGAATTTAGTTTGGTAAGTAATTCGCAAGTAGCAGCCGCTTTTGTAGCCGGATGCGTCGTTTTCTTACTCTCTCACACATTCGGTACAACAATGGCGTGTGAGCGAGACGGAAGATTGTTTTTGAGAATCGATAATGAATTCACGAATCCTGTCAGCATGTGGTTCTGAAACTAATCGTTTCCTTGTCAATGTTTACATTTAAAACAATACAAGCGAAATTGTTATACAATTAAAATACAACTTTAATGTTGTAGACACAAAGTTGGTTTTAGAATAAATTTTGTTATTAGGCTCTAATAATGTTCGATGTACAAACTATTTTGAATTTTATTTATAATAAGAATAAGGTTGGTTTTAAATAATTTATTTTGTAAGTTCTGTCAGACAAATAATTAAGGGCTCCTGTTTCCGCTATTTCGGTTTCCCGCCAAATGTATTTCGAATGTAGACATATTTAGAACGTTTTTATGTAAATTAAAATAATTTATGCTAATGTTGCGTCATGTTCGGTTTAAAAAAGAAATTTTTTAAAACTAAATTGATTGAAGGAATGAGATAAAAATAAATTAATTGACAAAATATAGTTCTCATTTCGATATAATTCATTTTAAAAATCAACCTTCTAAATTGGACTTATTTTTATGTACACATCTGAGTTTAATGATAAAAATGAAATTAAAAAATAAAGATGAAATAAAATATTTTTATACTAGAATGTTTAAAAATTTTTCTTTATAAAACACCCGTTAATAAATTTGATTCTTAATAACTACTTATTTGATGACATTTTAAGCCACATTTGTAAAGGTAAAAAGCGAAATATTTTTTAATAATGTCAGTTTCAATAAACGCCACGATCGTAAAACATTCAGCCAATGTGAGTACAAACTATAAAATTTAAATATATAAAAACATAAAAATATATACTAATGCATAATTTTATTTAGATTTTGAAATTTTAAATAATTTTTTTATTATATCCCCTTAAATAATAAAAACTTTCCCAAAACAGAGAGTAGAATATTATCTATACCAATATTATAAAGCTGAAGAGTTTGTTTGTTTGTTTGAAAGCGCTAATCTCCGAAACTACTGGTTCGAATTGAATAATTCTTTTTGTGTTGGATAGTCCAGTTATCGAGGAAGGCTGTAGGCTATATAACATCACGCTACGACCAATAGGAGCAAAGATATAGTGGTAAATGTGTAAAAAACGGGAGAAATTATTTCATCTTTGAAGCCTTCCGTTGCGTGCGCCGTGAAAACAGTTCAAGATACACAAAAAATATGTATCAAAGAATAATAGCTCTTTTAATGATCTAAAAAACAGTCCGCGACAGTATATGTCTATCTTTTAAGATTAACTCACAAAACCTTTTTTATGGTACCTAATTAGGTTGAAATAATTTGTTAAAGTTGTATCCAGATAATAATTTTAATCTTTATTCAAATAAACAAATAAATATGTTGTTTTTTAAGAGCACTTCATTGTGAATAAAAAAAATATAGGTTTTATCCTGAAAATTCTACGGGAACTCGACCATTCCGAAAACCCCGCAAGAACGGGAACTATGTGGGAAGAACCAAAAATCTGCCGGAAGTCACTATTCCACGCGGACGGAGTCGCGGCAAAAGCTAGTTATTATATAATTCCATAAATGAATCGTGATTTTAATAGTTTTTTTAATTTAATTCTTTATTTATGTTCATCATCTAAGACAAACACTCTTTCTTAGTATTCTTTGGTATGTTTTAATATTTT